GTCATCCCATCCTGATCCTGTCGTTGTTCCCTGCTACCCTTCTCCAGTCTCTCCCGGATTTTACCGTCTGCATAGGGTCCTGACCTATACACATCGTTACAAATACCCAAAGTCAGGCCGCCCCCTCTGTACGGTACAGTGCGTCATCTCGAGAGCGGATTGGGCCAGACTTTGACTCTGCCGGGGCCGGCAGACGCTGGGATTTTCAGAGCCCTGATACTCGCTCATCACAGAGGCGAGTGTGCGAGGCTGTCTGGCTGTGACTAGCGAGTTAGAGCTGTTCTTCCCCTTTTTTGCCTCAGAGCAGGTCGCTCCTGTGCGTGCCCTCGGCCGGCTTCGTGGGTCTGCCTCACCTGACATCTCTCCGATTGCCTCCAGTTTAATAACCCTGACCATGTCTGTGTGTGTGTGTGTCTGTGGCTTCATGTCTGCGTGACTCTGTGCGTGGGTGTATGTATGTCAACGTGTGTATGTGTGTCCTTGTGTGATTCCCACCACAGGCTTTGATGTCCCTCTTTGTGCTGGCTTCTAAGGACGGCTGGGTCAATATCATGTATAATGGACTGGACGCCGTGGGCATTGACCAACAGGTAAGAAAGGCCTCCCAGGCTTTCTGCACGCCATTCACTGCAGGGCAGTATCGGGGGCACACCTTGCAGCTTGTGTACAAAGATGATTCCCGTTCCAGGGCTGCTCGATCCATTTCAGGTTTCAGCTGCAGCCGGCTCTTGGACAAACCCTGCTGATTGCAGAATCTTTTTTCATATTGCTTGAAATGGAGCATCAAATATTTTAAATATCATTTTAATTGCACATTTCTGCCCTGCGCACACTGTCACTGTAAGGCAGCACATCCGGCATGGAATGCTGGTTAATATATAACAGCCTGCAGCAGGTACCACCTAGAGTAGCTCAGACCTCTGTGTGTAGATATTAGAAGCTATCACATTAAGTGTTACAACAGAGAATGAGAAGGAATTGTTGATAAAAGAAGCAAGTTAATTACAACCTTATAGGCAATCAAATTCCAGCAGTGAAATACTCTTGATATGATGCAGTAGCTGTGTCTCAGTGTCACTGTGCTGCAGTAGCTGTGTCTCAGTGTCACTGTGCTGCAGCAGCTGTGTCTCGGTGTCACTGTGCTGCAGCAGCTGTGTCTCGGTGTCACTGTGCTGCAGCAGCTGTGTCTCGGTGTCACTGTGCTGCAGCAGCTGTGTCTCAGTGTCACTGTGGTGCAGTAGCTGTGTCACAGTGTCACTGTGCTGCAGGAGCTGTGTCTCGGTGTCACTGTGCTGCAGTAGCTGTGTCACAGTGTCACTGTACTGTAGCAGTGTTACAGTGTGTTGCTGTGCTTTTCTAACATCACGACTAAAAACAAAATCTCAGAGGAAAAACTAAAACATTATCATCAGACATCAGCTCAGTAAGGTTTCAAAAAGCTTAATTAAACAAACTCAGATTAACCAAAGCCCAAAAGGCACAGAGGTACTCCAGTACCAGATCATGAGCAGGCTCACAAATAAGGAGAGGCCTTTCTCACTGTTCATACTACGTTCATTGCTCGGTATTGCTGTTCCCAGAAATCTCTTCCCACCTGCCCTTCTGTC